GATTACACGACCACATTACTTTGAAATGTTTTACAGTCAAGACTTTACACAGACCCTGAAAATCAGCAACCAGCTTTATAGATATAGTAGCACAGTCGTTTGAGATGCACTATATCAATATAGATTCAGAGAGCATATTTAAAATCCATCTTTGCGATTCTGTCCACTCTTACACTCTACATTTGGTTGCTTTTCAGCTAGTAAAGCAGAGCAGAGGTGGTAGGCCCAAATGGGGCTTTAGTTTTATTATATTGTATTAGAGACAACAACAAGCATATATAATATGACAGTTTTAGAATATATATTATTTTTATACACTTGTTTCAAATGGCAACATTTGGCAAACTTTAACTGAAAATGTAATTGATTGACAAAACTTGGTAACTGGGTAATAAAAACCACACGTGGTCTTCTGATCCATCTATGTGACCAAACCTACAGCGTTGTGTCTGCATTTCCTCTTTTTTTTTTCTTTTTTTCTTTTTTCTTCTTGGCAAATCCAAGTGGAGGCTAAGACCAAACTCCCTTTGATTTCCAAGAATTGTCCTCTCCTTGTTTTCAACATCACTTGTAATATTGAGTTTCCCAATGCTGTGGTGTTCTCAAGGAATGTAAACTTTTCAAAGTATTGCTTTTAGTTGGATTTGATTTACTTACACTTTTTAGAAAATGTAAACTATAGTTAAAGTATGATTATTCTTTTTGCAGTAATCCAACTGTTTCTCTCCGTCTAAACATGTATACTGTTATCTCTGAGCGAGCAACAGGGACAACCATCAACAAGGTAGACAGTGGAGGAAGGATACAGAACAAAAGTGTGATTTAGATTTTTTATTACAGCTTTACACACTTGAATTAATTAAATATTAAGAAAACGTCAAAACACACAGTAAAAACATGCATCTATTGAAACCCCTAAAGTTTCTTTCTATAATAAGAAGCAAGCCTGACACATGATAACCAGTCATGCCAACTACAGCTGTGTGGATGTTTGCTTATTATTATATATTTACCCAAAAGTGCACTTGTGAACTCTGATGCTGTCATAGTTGATTCTCAGTCCCTTTATCCTTTCTAAAAGTCTTCAAGAATTACTATTATTTTTTCCTCACAGCTCAATGAAGAAAACAATTACATTTAAAGTTTGCAGTTAAAAGTAATGCATGTGATCTATAACCCATTTTATATCAATGATTTATTTATTTATTTATTTTAACCAATTACGAAAAGAGAAAGTTTAATTCCTTTGTCATTTGCAATCAGCCGAACCTCATTCCACTCATTCCATGACTCATTAGTTTCCTGAAGACGCGCTCATTCTCGCAAATCCCGTTTTCCGACTAGGACCGCGGCATTAGCCGGATTAAAAAAAAAGAAGTCTTTTGACCATCCCGTTGTCACAAAGGGGTCACAACCTAGTAGTGAGATTTCACCTGTTAAGCGAGAGTGAGTTTATCACCTTTACACTGGGTGCCAATAACCTTTTTACGTAAATTAAATGGAACATTGAGACACAAACAGAACTCGCTCATTTATAAAACTGCCTTTAGTTACAGAAAGAATAAGCAAGGAAAAAAAACTGTTTGACTCACCTGCAGACACAGAAATTAGTGACAAAAACAGGAGAAATCTGACAAAAGCCATCTGTGACAAGCCAGAGGAGAGAAGATTATAGCAGCCCTGACCTGAACAGAAAGAAGCAGCTCACATTCCAGACCTACCAGCCTTTATAGCGAGGGAGAGTCACTTTAAAAACGAAACTATTTAAACTTACAGTCACACCGGAAAGTAGAACCATATATAATCCGCACTTTAAAAATGCAATGAAGAATGTATGACATTTCAGACAGAAAAAAGTCAACAAATCAATAGAAAAACCCCAAAAACTTTGATTTCCGATTTCCTTTTCAGACTTTTAAATGTGACAGTTCACCAGTGGATTAACAGGAAGCTCAACTGAATTCTTCTCCCTTCCCCCATCAGAACAGAAAAAAAAATCATTTTCAGGTGAAATAAATCTGCTTTAGTTGATTATGATTTAATGAAACAAATATATAAATAATTAAATGTCCATTGATGTTCTCATTAATTATCTATTAATTCGTTTTGGCACCCATGTTTGGTCCTGATGCCTTCAAGTCTGGAACTGCAGCTGCTAGAATGCAGCTCAGGGAAGTATTCAGTTACATGTAGAGGATCTTTATCACCGATAACTTTCAATCAGTAAGAGACAGAGACTAAAGGGATCCAGTCCAGGTTTCTTTCATTCTTGATCAGCGTCAGACCTGAACACACGGAGCAGCTGATCCAAATTAAAGTTCCAGCTCTTACTTATTCACATCTGAAATAATGGGCGCGCTGAGTGTTCATAGCTGCTGCTGGTCTCATGTCTGATTTTTATGTAAGCTGTCCTCACTCTGATTCAGGCGGCGCACAAATAGTGTGTTACGGGCGGAGGAAGGGGAAAGCAAAACACCCACTTTTTATGTGAGCGTGCACAAACAGACACAGACAAACAGCAACAAACAAAAAAAAAAAAAGGAAAGAAAAAAAACCACACTCAACAACTTCGTGTCAGTAACTGTTTTTGTTTTTGTGCAGTGAGGCCACGAGGTCCACTTAAAGACGCGTTCATATGATAAATATGAAGAAAGCTCCTGTATGACACTGATGCAATCAAAATGAGTTAACGCTCACCTGCAGTCACGCTGAGCCCAGAGACATTTCCGCCTCATTGTTCTGCTGACCCGACTCTTCAAGCTCGCTAAATATCCAAGGCTGGTGAGATTTCATGGGAACAGAACATCCCTTATCCCTTTATCCTAATTCTAATCCGGACGATGTCGAAGTTCGATTTGAAAATAAAACTCCCGAGTGTCATGACAGGTGGGTTTGTTCTCAGCCTCGCGCTCTGAGGACTGTTTTTGTCATGAGGACGAACAAAAACAGTCTGTGGGTGGGATCAGAAACGCGTGCGTAATAACAAAGAAGGTCACGTTACTCAAATAAACGTCTGGCAGGCTTCGTGTTTTACAGCTGATCAACAACAAACCTGATCATTAATCAATAATCAGTCATATTAAAACCATCACAGAAGCTTTTTAATAGAATCAAAAGGATTCACGATCATCTTTACGTGAATCTCTGTAACTTTTAACCTTTATATAGACTGCACAGCATTTCTATTTCATCTCATGCTCCTACTGCAAGTTCCTGTAAGTGCTTCACAATAAAACCCTAGGTCAGACATCCAATCGAAGTGTTCGTACAAAGGCTTTTAATTTGTAACAGATGCAGGAAGTGATGTGTTTAGACAAAAGAGGATTTAGCTTGTAGCTACTTTCAGCTGCTCAAAAAACTGAATTATATGAAGTCAGTTTCTGTTTATGTGCTTTTTTCCTTCAGAGCTGTTCTCTTGTTATCCAAAAATTATCAAAGCACTTTAAATATCAACACAACAGCTTTAACTTTTTGTGTGAAAGTACTCAAACTACACCAGTGCTTGAATCTGATTTCTCACTTTGAGGGGAAGTGAAATGTGACCCATCAGAAGTGGCGGTCCTAGCCTGTTTGGCGCCCTGGGCGAACTCTCCCTCTAGCACTGACAGATGCAAACAGACTAAATAACCTGATCCACAAGGCCAGTAATGTTGTGGGGATGGAGCTGGACTCTGCTAGGGTGGTGCCTGAGAGGCAGATGTTTTCCAAGATAAAGTTAATGTTGTATAATAGCTCCCACCCACTCCATGACATGCTGGTCAGTCACAGGAGCGTGCTCAGTGAGAGACTGAGATCACCCATAATGCACCACTGAACGACACAGGAAATCATTCCTGCCTGTGGCCATCTCCCTGTACAACTCCTCCATCTAACACACTGTAAACACTGATCTCTATATATTAGTGCTATTTCTTAAATGTGTAAAATCTGTAACATAATGCTTGGAGTTTAGTCTGTTGCTGTTACTATTTTTACCATTTCTTTTTGGAGCAACTGTAACCCACATTATTTCCTTAGGGATTAATAAAGTATTCTGATTCTGATTCTGATTGTTTCAGGATGACCTGTCATTATTCAGTGACCCATCTGCTTACCTGTATCTTTTGCTCGTTTCTCCTCCTCTTCTTTTTTTCTTTTTTCTAAACTGAGCTCCTGATGGCTTCAAACTTTTCTTGTCCGTCTTCCACTGGTTTTAATTTTGCCCTCCAGTATGAACACCCACCTCCCAACCCGAGGATCATAACCTAATAGACCTGCACCTTAGTTCACAGATTCACTTTGTCTAGGGTTTATTTCTGGGATTTCACACAACCCAGGTTTCAAATCATGAATACATAATGGGCTTGTATTTACAACATTATGAATGAAATGTGCTCTATCTGGAAGCAGCCAGCCCCCCTTCCCTTTTGACAGGTTGTGTGTGAGACTTTAAATCATCAAACTGTATTGTTTGTTTACTTGCAGTGCTGTAAGCCTCGTCGTCTCGTCGTCAGTCTTGTGGACTGTACGTAGTGGAGATGACAATAAAGTTTACTTTGACTTCAGCAGCAAGCAACCACGATGCCGCCCTGGGCGACCGCCCATGTCGCCCATATCAAAAACCACTACTGCCCGTCAGCACTGCAGCTGTACTGCAAACAGTTCAGTTTGTTCGGGATTCTTTGGCTGTGCTGGTTATTCTGATGTCACTTTCGCTGAGCTGCAGATTGATGCTTTAACACTTTCAAGCCTCCAGGTGGCAGCAGAGCAACTTGAGCGACAACCAGGATCATCATAGAAGACACAAATATTCAAACATCATCATCATCATAAAATCTGTCACACACCATCTAGAAGTCTTTTTTTTTACTGAGGAAGGAAAAAAAGGCGATTCGTTCTTAATCTGTTACTGCAGGGAAACACAAAGAGTGCAGGAGGAAGTTCAATCATGCAGAATATGAGTCATTACAGGTCACCTCAGTGTGAACATAAAGCAGCTGACACAGAGTGGATTGTGTCGTTCATGAAATTTCAGTAAAGTGGAATTTTAAAGTGAAACACTAAATCCAAATCAAAGAATTTATTTTGTGGTTTCAACACAAAAGTGAAATGTCTCCAAATGATCTTCATAAAGTCAGAGAGATC